TATACATTATTGATGTTTATCAATGTTTAGAATATTTAATACGGGCGTTGTGGCCATATTACCTGCCTGGCCATAATGCCTGCCTTTACCCTATATACAGAGAATGGTCTAAAGAAAGACCGAAGCGTCTGTAACTTTTGTTTTAATAAACTGAATTTTTACTTTTTTGACACCCAACACCTAGTCAAGGCTCTTAGTCAAGGCTCCTTTTGCTCATTGAGATATAAATATTTATGAGGACATTAATAAATCCTGGGCCAAGTTCCAGCATCGTGGACACAGGCCTTAAGATATTGTATTTAAGTCTTGACGGGATCAAACTAACTTGTGAATATGTTGGTTTTCCTTGAGGTACATCTCGCGCCGATTCAGTCCGCTCGCACTCTTGTAGTTGCTACATGAAACGGATACAAGATTAATTTAGCCTTGAACGATATGTTTAATATTGAGCGCAACAGACAGTCGTACGCACTCTATTTCCTTGCGGACGCTGCCTAGAAGGTCCTCGCGGTCTTTCCTGGCCGTGAAGTTATTCCTAATCTTGTTGAACTCCAGCTTGTAGTCCTTCAGTATCTCCTTGTGGCGCTGCATCGTGTGCAGCATAGCCGCGCCGTTCGGCTGGAGCTCGCTCATCCTCTCGTTTATGGAGAACAACTGCGTTCGATCGTGTCCGATCAGTATATACGTTCGTTCGCGCGTAGAGAAAGAAAGACGAGGGGGATCTACCTTGGTGAGCAGCGTCTCGATCTCCGACGCCATGTTCTCGAACACCTGCTCCTCGTCCAGGAGTGGGACCTCCTCCGCGCTGACATGCCTCGCGCCTGTGTTGATGCCGAGCTTGCTGAACGCCACCAGCTTCGCGTCGATCTCGTTCTCCAGATGCCTCGCCTGCTTCCTCAGATCTGTAACAGCGTGACTCGGCTGCGAACTCCGTGCAGGTAGCGTGCTTTTTTTTGTTTTTCTTACGGTTTCTAACGTCGCAAGTGAATCGCGAGTAACGCAAAGTGCGGAGGCACGAGCGGCGCCGACGAGATAACGTCGTTATCCAGGATGACAAGCAGTAACGGTCCTGCATTCGCGGGACACTCCTCTGGCAATGTAAACAAAGATCGCGGGGTGCCTTGTTTTCTTTAAACGTCTAACGGTACTTGACGCGAAGTTTCGCCGTGTCCTCGGCAGTAACGGCGGGATCTTACCTTCCCAGTCGACCGTGCCCAGCGAGCTAGCCATTTAGCGTAAATCGCAAACGCACGCGTCCGTGATTGACACGTAAAAACGTCACATAACAGTCTGCCTCCGGTGCCGAACGGGGGGGAAAAACACGCAACGCGAGATCGCTGAGCTGCGAAAAAGCGCGCAGAGCGACCTCGCGACTGCACCCGCGCCTGCTGCACTCGCACTCGTCCGACTCGTCGATCTCGTATCGACTGCGCGTTCGGAGATCGCGAGCTGGACAGTGAGTATCGATTCGCTCATACTTGACGCCGACTGAATGTATTTTTAAATAATTTCTATATGCAATCGTTTGTATTTCGTATGTAGACGTTTCTAGTGCAATTAGAAAGGTTTGTGAGTCATTCGTTTGTTTGTAATGAATTAATTATTTTTCCACCATATATTTAGCGCAATAGATAAATTTATAGATAAAATTTTTATATGAAATCGTTGGTATTTCATATGAAGACGTTTGTAGTGCAATTAAAAAGGTTTGTGAGTGATCCAGATAATTTTAATTAAATATTTATTAAATGGAAGTTAGCCGGATTCAAAATTTAATTGATCTCCTATTTATGATACTGAATGATTTAAGACATTAGAATTGCTTGTCACGCCATTTCAGGACGTCTAGACCGACGGATTGTGAAAATAAACGTTTTAATATAAGCGTTGTGTTAAACTTATGGATAATATAATTGTTTTATAAATCGCCTGTAAACTGCAATAACAACCCACACAGCACCGAAATATTTCAGAAAGCTCTCAAAAAGCTGTCAATGAAATATGAAACCTTTCAAAAAAATATTTCAGACATGTTTCAGATACATGAAATGTCCGCGTAGCTGAGATATCATAAATGTTTCTGAAATATTTCTGAAATGCTTCAGAAATATCTTAAATGTTTCTGAAATATTTCTGAAATACTTCAGAAATATCTCTTAAATGCTTCGGAAATATTTCTGAAATGCGTCGGAAATATTTCTGAAATGCGTCGGAAATATTTCTGAAATGCGTCGGAAATATTTTTGAAATGCTTCAGAAATATCTTTTAAATGGTTCGGAAATATTTCTGAATGATTTCTATCTTACATTTCGCTATTAATTTTCAAGTTATATGTTGGATAGCTTTCTATAACATATGTTTTAGAGATTACGTACGAAATATTTCTCTGAAATGTTTTGTAATATTTCTGAAATATTTCAGTGAGAAAGATCATAAATGATTTCGATAAAACTTTTCAGAAATACTTCTGAACGATTTCAATGTTACATTT